TAAAAAAAATTCAATTTTCAAATAATTCCTAAATATTATTTATTTTTGATGAAAACAATGCTTTTTAGAATTACTATAAAATATTTTAAGAATGACAAAATTAAAGAAAACCTGCATGCTGTTTGTCACTTAATAGTAAATTATAATATTGTTAGATATGGTATTTATTTTTTAGTTTATAATATTTTACTCCAAAATAATTGTTATATAATATATTTTGTTTCAGAATTGGTGCAATAAATATACGAGTACGCCGTGCAACGCGTTAACGCGCATATTAATACAATTATACATATCTTATACAATATAATATAATATAAATATAAATGGATATACACAGCATTACTTTTATAGATATTTTATTTTATTTTAATATCGGTGATATATATAATATTATATAAGTAGGTACATTGACATGTAATAGCTAGTTTATAAGCAGGTATATAATTATTTTTATTGAAAGCAAGTTATTTAATTCTTTAACTTTTTGTTTTGGTTCCTAATAATAATAGTAAAGGAAATAAATTACATAGTCTGAATCCCTTGAGACATGCCATGTGAACCACTTTATTCTATATTGTTAGGGGAGGATGGTCAAATTTTGAAAACTTTTTATCGGATCACTCCTCAGAGATTCACTATACTAGCCACGGCATGCATGATGACTATAATAGGTTGTTTAGGTGTTACTACGTTATCTAGTCCAGATGAATTCTTTGATTAGATAAAAAAAATGCTCCAGTGGGACCTAATAACTTTAGAGAGAACACCTGTGTATCGAAACTTTCAAATGCTTTTATTGGACACCYAACACGATTTATATAAATAAAGTACGAAATAAAATCTTACTCTGTAAACAAAAATAACTGTCATCAATATAATTTTTATTGTATGAAGTTTTAACATTTTACAAAGTCATTAGTCTTTTTAAACTTATATGTATGTACTGTTTTTAATAAGGATATTATCGTATGAATAGTTCACAGTTTAATATTGTAGAACCACTGTATTAATTAAAAATGAATATCGCGGTGTTTGAAAAATCGTGTTTCATAATAACTAATGTAATATTATGAACGTGACGATTTAATTTTTAAAAAACGGAAAAACTATTTGTTCCGATTAGAATTTAATAATTAAGCCATTTTTCATCCTATAAATGTCAGTAGTTATTAATAGTATTAATCGGCTCTTATTTAATACACTATGAATTACACTTATAAACTTATTTTTTGTGAACATATTGGTGTAATATCCGTAGATAAAAGTACCTGTCTACGTGTCTACCTAACTTATAAAATACCTAAATTATAAAATAATTGTCGAAGGTTAGACATATCACATATATAATCGTATACGAAGTAAATAAGGTATATGTTATATAACGTTTATTAATTATTATTAACAGTTTTTCAAATAACATACCCTATCATATTTTTTTAATAAGTTTATTATGATTCATAAGTTTGAGCACGTGCTAGACAAACATTTATTAGAAATACTTAGATGAATACCAAATTATTTTATTATCAATTATCGTAAAATATAATCAATTAAATTTATGGTATGACTAACATTACTTTATCTGACAAAATTGACATGACATTTATCCGATGATTTATTATAGTTTGTACATTATATAATCAAATAATATTGTTGTTAAATATTATATTTATTACTATACCTAATGGATATTATATTTCCCTGGCATTTAAGCATATTTTTTTGTTAGTATATTCAAATATTATAGAATAATAGTCTATGTATTTTATTTGCCTAAAAAAATTATAAATGGCCATGTTATATCACTCTAATAAGTAATAATATAGTGTTAAATGTGTAAGATACGTTAAGTAGCTTAGTTAGCTTTTATTACTAGTTACCATAATAAATTTAAATACCTTAATTAATAATATTTAATTACCTTATTGTTCATCGAAATATACAGAAATCATTCTTGATTTTATCAAAGAATAAGACGTAACCATAATGAGCTAATGAAATTAAATTTCATTTGATTTTGACGAGTTTACAGCAAACGCCTCAGAGCTGAAAAAAGCATAAAATCCATTAGTGTTTGTTCACGCCAGTAACATATAAGCGTGCTTAATAACGATAAGTAGTCGTAGCCAATTTAATATTACGTTTCGCCACCAGAGTTTATGAAGTTAAATATTATGTTGTTCAAATAATCCTTAAATTACGCAGATAACTGAGAATTATTTTTATTATTTCATATAGGTACCTGCTTGATATACACAAAATTAATAATTAACACTTTTTTTAGTGTTTACATACTATTATGAATAAAAAACGCGTGATTATCATAGTTTTAAACTTTTTTGCAACACGATCTGATTCCGTATTTTAATTGTTATTAGGTTAAATGCAAAATATTAAACACAATTTTACTCAACTATTTTAAAAATKATGTCATCAGCATACGCCATAATAATATTATACGCTATACCTATCAACAATCTGAATACGGTTAGTTCATTGGAAAAACAATA